CTGGCAGACAGCAGCTCCGGGGGCACATCTCTGGCATCAGCAACAGCTCTGGGGGCACATCTCTGACGGACAGCAGCTCCGGGGGCACATCTCTGGCGGACAGATAACAAAGTATTAGACAGCAGCTCACTGGCAAACTCTGGCAGACATCTCTCTGGGGGCACATCTCTGGCAGACAGCAGCTCCGGGGGCACATCTCTGGCGGACATCAGCTTCGGGGGCACATCTCTCACGGACACCAGATCGGGGGCACATCTCTGGCAGACAGATCCGGGGGCACATCTCTATTAGACAGCAGCTCCTCACACATCTCTGGCAGACAAAGCTCCGGGGGCACATCTCTGGCATGACAGCTCCGGGGGCACATCTCTGGCAGACAGCAGCTCCGGGGGCACATCTCTGGCAGACACAGCTCCGGGGGCACATCTCTGGTCCGGGACAGCAGCTCCGGGGGCACATCTCTGGCGGACAGCAGCTCCGGGGGCACATCTCTGGCAGACAGCACTCCGGGGGCACATCTCTGGCAGACAGCAGGCGGGGGCACATCTCTGGGACAGCACTCCGGGGGCACATCTCTGGCAGACAGCAGCTCCGGGGGGCACATCTCTGGCAGACAGCAGGGGGCACATCTCTGGCAGACAGCAGCTCCGGGGGCACATCTCTGGCAGACAGCAGCTCCGGGGGCACATCTCTGGCAGACAGCAGCTCCGGGGGCACATCTCTGGCAGACAGCAGCTCGGGGGCACATCTCTGGCAGACAGCAGCTCCGGGGGCACATCTCTGGCAGACAGCAGCTCCGGGGGCACATCTCTGGCAGACAGCAGCTCCGGGGGCACATCTCTGGCAGACAGCAGCTCCGGGGGCACATCTCTGGCAGACAGCAGCTCCGGGGGCACATCTCTGGCAGACAGCAGCTCCGGGGGCACATCTCTGGCAGACAGCAGCTCCGGGGGCACATCTCTGGCAGACAGCAGCTCCGGGGGCACATCTCTGGCAGACAGCAGCACGGGGGCACATCTCTGGCAGACAGCAGCTCCGGGGGCACATCTCTGGCAGACAGCAGCTCCGGGGGCACATCTCTGGCGGACAGCAGCTCCGGGGGCACATCTCTGGCAGACAGCAGCTCCGGGGGCACATCTCTGGCAGACAGCAGCTCCGGGGGCACATCTCTGGCAGACAGCAGCTCCGGGGGCACATCTCTGGCAGACAGCAGCTCCGGGGGCACATCTCTGGCAGACAGCAGCTCCGGGGGCACATCTCTGGCAGACAGCAGCTCCGGGGGCACATCTCTGGCAGACAGCAGCTCCGGGGGCACATCTCTGGCAGACAGCAGCTCCGGGGGCACATCTCTGGCAGACAGCAGCTCCGGGGGCACATCTCTGGCAGACAGCAGCTCCGGGGGCACATCTCTGGCAGACAGCAGCTCCGGGACAGCACATCTCTGGCAGACAGCAGCTCCGGGGGCACATCTCCGGGGGCACAGACAGCAGCTCCGGGGGCACATCTCTGGCAGACAGCAGCTCCGGGGGCACATCTCTGGCAGACAGCAGCTCCGGGGGCACATCTCTGGCAGACAGCAGCTCCGGGGGCACATCTCTGGCAGACAGCAGCTCCGGGGGCACATCTCTGGCAGACAGCAGCTCTGGGGCACATCTCTGGCAGACAGCAGCTCGGGGGCACATCTCTGGCAGACAGCAGCTCCGGGGGCACATCTCTGGCAGACAGCAGCTCCGGGGGCACATCTCTGGCAGACAGCAGCTCTGGGGGCACATCTCTGGTGGACATCAGCTTCGGTGCACATCAGCTCCAGGGGCACATCTCTGGCAGACAGCAGCTCCTGGGGGCACATCTCTGGCAGACAGCAGCTCCGGGGGCACATCTCTGGCAGACAGCAGCTCCGGGGGCACATCTCTGGCAGACAGCAGCTCCGGGGGCACATCTCTGGCAGACAGCAGCTCCGGGGGCACATCTCTGGCAGACAGCAGCTCCGGGGGCACATCTGGCAGACAGCAGCTCCGGGGGCACATCTCTGGCAGACAGCAGACAGCAGCTCTGGCAGGGGCACATCTCTGGCAGACAGCAGCTCCGGGGGCACATCTCTGGCAGACAGCAGCTCCGGGGGCACATCTCTGGCAGACAGCAGCTCCGGGGGCACATCTCTGGCAGACAGCAGCTCCGGGGGCACATCTCTGGCAGACAGCAGCTCCGGGGGCACATCTCTGGCAGACAGCAGCTCCGGGGGCACATCTCTGGCAGACAGCAGCTCCGGGGGCACATCTCTGGCAGACAGCAGCTCCGGGGGCACATCTCTGGCAGACAGCAGCTCCGGGGGACATCTCTGGCAGACAGCAGCTCCGGGGGCACATCTCTGGCAGACAGCAGCTCCGGGGGCACATCTCTGGCAGACAGCAGCTCCGGGGGGCACATCTCTGGCAGACAGCAGCTCCGGGGGCACATCTCTGGCAGACAGCAGCTCCGGGGGCACATCTCTGGCAGACAGCAGCTCCGGGGGCACATCTCTGGCAGACAGCAGCTCCGGGGGCACATCTCTGGCAGACAGCAGCTCGGGGGCACATCTCTGGCAGACAGCAGGGGGCACATCTCTGGCAGACAGCAGCTCCGGGGGACATCTCTGGCAGACAGCAGCTCCGGGGGCACATCTCTCTGGCGGGGGACAGCAGCTCCGGGGGCACATCTCTGGCTTCCGGGGGCACATCTCTGGCAGACAGATAAAAGGGGGGGCACATCTCTGGCAGACAGCAGCTCTGGGGGCACATCTCTGGCAGACAGCAGCTCCGGGGGCACATCTCTGGCAGACAGCAGCTCCGGGGGCACATCTCTGGCAGACAGCAGCTCCGGGGGCACATCTCTGGCAGACAGCAGCTCCGGGGGCACATCTCTGGCAGACAGCAGCTCCGGGGCACATCTCTGGCAGACAGCAGCTCCGGGGGCACATCTCTGGCAGACAGCAGCTCTGGGGGCACATCTCTGGCAGACAGCAGCTCCGGGGGCACATCTCTGGCAGACAGCAGCTCTGGGGGCACATCTCTGGCAGACAGCAGCATCTCTGGCAGACAGCAGCGGGGGCACATCTCTGGCAGACAGCAGCTCCGGGGGCACATCTCTGGCAGACAGCAGCTCCGGGGGCACATCTCTGGCAGACAGCAGCTCCGGGGGCACATCTCTGGCAGACAGCAGCTCCTGGGGGCACATCTCTGGCAGACAGCAGCTCCGGGGGCACATCTCTGGCAGACATCAGCTCCGGGGGCACATCTCTGGCAGACAGCAGCTCCGGGGGCACATCTCTGGCAGACAGCAGCTCCGGGGGCACATCTCTGGCAGACAGCAGCTCCGGGGGCACATCTCTGGCAGACAGCAGCTCCGGGGGCACATCTCTGGCAGACAGCAGCTCCGGGGGGCACATCTCTGGCAGACAGCAGCTCCGGGGGCACATCTCTGGCAGACAGCAGCTCCGGGGGCACATCTCTGGCAGACAGCAGCTCCGGGGGCACATCTCTGGCGGGGACAGCAGCTCCGGGGGCACATCTCTGGCAGACAGCAGCTCCGGGGGCACATCTCTGGCAGACAGCAGCTCCGGGGGCACATCTCTGGTGGACAGCAGCTCCGGGGGCACATCTCTGGCAGACAGCAGCTCCGGGGGCTCTGGCAGACAGCAGCTCCGGGGGCACATCTCTGGCAGACAGCAGCTCCAGGGGGGCACATCTCTGGCAGACAGCAGCTCCGGGGGCACATCTCTGGCAGACAGCAGCTCCAGGGGGCACATCTCTCTGGACAGCAGCTCCGGGGGCACATCTCTGGCAGACACAGCTCGGGGGCACATCTCTGGCAGACAGCAGCTCCGGGGGCACATCTCTGGCAGACAGCAGCTCCGGGGGCACATCTCTGGCAGACAGCAGCTCCGGGGGCACATCTCTGGCAGACAGCAGCTCCGGGGGCACATCTCTGGCAGACAGCAGCTCCGGGGGCACATCTCTGGCAGGACAGCAGCGGGGGGGCACATCTCTGGCAGACAGCAGCTCCGGGGGCACATCTCTGGCAGACAGCAGCTCCGGGGGCACATCTCTGGCAGACAGCAGCTCCGGGGGCACATCTCTGGCTGGGAGACAGCAGCTCGGGGGCACATCTCTGGCAGACAGCAGCTCCGGGATGACACATCTCTGGCAGACAGCAGCTCCGGGGGCACATCTCTGGCAGACAGCAGCAAAAAGGGGGCACATCTCTGGCAGACAGCAGCTCCGGGGGGCACATCTCTGGCAGACAGCAGCTCCGGGGGCACATCTCTGTCGTCGACAGCAGCTCCGGGGGCACATCTCTGGCAGACAGCAGCTCCGGAAGCACATCTCTGGCAGACAGCAGAACTGGGGCACATCTCTGGCAGCTCAAGGGGCACATCTCTGGGGCATCATGGACAGCAGCTCGGGGGCACATCTGGCTGTATATTAAACAGCAGCTCCAAGGGGCACATCTCTGGCAGACAGCAGCTCCGGGGGCACATCTCTGGCAGGGCCACATCTCTTTGGAAGGGGCACAGCAGACAGCATTTCCAGGGGCACATCTCTGGCAGACAGCAGCTCTGGGCGGGGGCACATCTCTGGCAGACAGCAGCTCCGGGGGCACATCTCTGGCAGACAGCAGCTCCGGGGGCACATCTCTGGCAGACAGCAGCTCCGGGGGCACATCTCTGGCAGACAGCAGCTCCGGGGGCACATCTCTGGCAGACAGCAGCTCCGGGGGCACATCTCTGGTGGGCAGCAGCAGCTCCTAAGGGGGCACATCTCTGGCAGACAGCAGCTCCATTGGGCACATCTACTCTGGACACAGCTCCAGGGCACTCGGGGGCAGATGGCACAGGCACATACATCTGGTAACAAAAGCCCCTAGACAGCGCTCACACAACAAAACTCTGCATGACATCTCCGGGAGCACATCTCTGGCAGCCTACACTAAGCTTCGGGGGGCACATCTTTCTAGCCGGGACATCAGCTCTCTGGGGTCACATCTCTCAATGAAAAAACACCAGATCGGGGGCACATCTCTGGCGGACAGATACAACAAACAAAAGTATTACACAGACACAAAAAACACACAACACAGCCTCTGGCTGAAACTGTGGCACAGCTCCGGGGCACATCTCTGGACATGACATCATCTCTGGGGACACATCTCTGGCAGCTGGCGGCAGCTCCGGGGGACACACATCTCTGGCGGGGGCACATCTCTGGCAGACAGCAGCTCCGGGGGCACATCTCTGGCAGACAGCAGCTCCGGGGGCACATCTCTGGCAGACAGCAGCTCCGGGGGCACATCTCTGGCAGACAGCAGCTCCGGGGGCACATCTCTGGCAGACAGCAGCTCCGGGGGCACATCTCTGGCAGACAGCAGCTCCGGGGGCACATCTCTGGCAGACAGCAGCTCCGGGGGCACATCTCTGGCAGACAGCAGCTCCGGGGGCACATCTCTGGCAGACAGCAGCTCCGGGGGCACATCTCTGGCAGACAGCAGCTCCGGGGGCACATCTCTGGCAGACAGCAGCTCCGGGGGCACATCTCTGGCAGACAGCAGCTCCGGGGGCACATCTCTGGCAGACAGCAGCTCCGGGGGGGCACATCTCTGGCAGACAGCAGCTCCGGGGGCACATCTCTGGCAGACAGCAGCTCCGGGGGCACATCTCTGGCAGACAGCAGCTCCGGGGGCACATCTCTGGCAGACAGCAGCTCCGGGGGCACATCTCTGGCAGACAGCAGCTCTGGGGACACATCTCTGGCAGACAGCAGCTCCGGGGGCACATCTCTGGCAGACAGCAGCTCCGGGGGCACATCTCTGGCAGACAGCAGCTCCGGGGGCACATCTCTGGCAGACAGCAGCTCCGGGGGCACATCTCTGGCAGACAGCAGCCCCGGGGGCACATCTCTGGCAGACAGCAGCTCCAGCGGCACATCTCTGGCAGACAGCAGCTCCGGGGGCACATCTCTGGCAGACAGCAGCTCCGGGGGCACATCTCTGGCAGATAGCAGCTCCAGTTCCCTATTAATTTTGGTGCGGGAAAAAAAAAAAAAGAGTGAAAAATAGTTGTGAAGCTATGGTATTTTTAGTAAACACTAAATAAAGCAGGTATCTGGGAAAGTGCAAAGGTTAATGGATTTAATAGTGTGTTAAAATATGGAGGAAAGCCAAGGGATCGAGCCATCTGCCTCAGTTTTAGACTGCACTATTTAGTACAAGAGCAGTTTTTGTTGTTGGGGGAAGGGGCGCATTCCCAGGGATTGTCATTTGAACTATGCATTTTTGTATAACTATTTCAGCAATTAATCAGCTTTTCTGCAGAGAGAGAGAGAGAGACTGAGCCATTTTGGATAAAACATGGTGCAGTGAAGCTAATCCTCTCATCAATAAACACCTGCTCCAAAAGCAAGGACAACTTAACCCAGTTTCTAAGAAACTAAGCAATGTAAAGGTAAAATGGGGAGATGTGAACCAACCTCATTGCACACAGTTATAAACCAGATGTGCTCTGCCGCCAGAAGGGACAGCTGATAAGAAGCTGTCTGCCTGTGTAGCTGTCCGCACCCAACTCCGTAGCTACAACAACGTTCCTGCATTCACCCCAGAGTGTTAACTCTTGTACCCATTTCCTAGAGGCTGGGTTAACCCCGGAAAGCGTCCAGTTTCGAACACCGGCCGTTGGCTGCAGCGAGTCGCAGCTGGATTATGTCTCCCAAAACAATGTCAAACAAGCACAATAGATTAACCTGGGGAAATGGTTTGGCGGCAGGAAAAACAGTGACTTTACCACAGGGATGTTGCTGACAGATGTAAGAAAGCTGTCAACATCAGCTTCGGTCATAAACAGGACAACATCATCAGGCTGTGCCGCAGACAGCTGGGTCACAATATCACTGTCACTGGTGAATTCAAGCTGGTTTGTCACACATCTCTAAGTAATAACAGTTTTATGTACCCATCCGAATAAGAATCTTACAGAACAGACAAACATAAGACTAACAAAACAGACAAACATAAGACTCACAAAATAGACAAACATAAGACTTTAACAAAACAAACATAAGATTCTTACAAAACAGATAAACACAAGACTCTTACAAACCAAACATTGCCAAGATTCTTACTTAAGGGGTCCAAGATCTGAATTATCTCACTGCTGCTTTTGTTGGTATCCGTCAGCCAGGCCAGGATCCTGTTCTCGCCGACATTCATTCTATCCATGAATCCAGCATTTACATCTGAGACTATCAAGTCAGATTGGCAGGGGGTTGCCAGAGGTCAAATATCCAGCCACCTACAGGAGTTAATGTCATACATGCCAGTTAGAATTTAGCGCAGTGGTTCTCAAACAGCTCAAAGTTGTTGAGCCTCATTTTCGAAGCGATAAAAGCAGAGAAAACAGTATTATTGGTGCAGTTATTGCCCTTTTATTACGACTATTACTCCGATTACGCCTGTTTTATGATTACTGTATTATTATTATTTTCGTTCCATTTATTTTATTTGTTCTACACTTGTTCCCTTTCCTATATTTCATAGTTATTCACCCACCCCTAGCATGTTGTGGTGTATGTTGATCCAAACAGCTTTTTGTTTTGTATACATACATTGTTTCCCTTACCCTGTGCTTCTTAGTCATAGTTCAGTGGATTAATTTATGGTTTTCAAAAGTCTGCCATGAACCCTAGACTTTTTAACAGTCCTACTGAAAAACTGTTTATCATTTATAAATATCCGAAGTTGAAAAACAATTGCATTCTAAAGTTGAGTGGTATTTAGTCAGTGATACCACAGATCCCAGTTCCATGGACACCTGGAGCTCACCAGACAACCAAATAGGAAGACTGTTCTGAAGTCAAGAGATACAATAATTCTATGACACCTTTTGTCATGCAGATTTTTATGCTGGAATCCCATATGCACTAGGCAGGCTCCTATCCACAATAGTCTTACAATCAAAACAATTCTGCCATCATCAGGAATTAAACCCTGGACCACTTCTGCTTTTTTCTTCTTTAGCATTCCAAGCCCTTGAGGTTCACTGCTGCAGATATCACCCCCCTCCATTCATCTCTCTGGCT